TGCAACATTGCTTTTATTCAGGTATTTGAGATTTTAATCAGAAAGACCAGTTCAAAATTGAACAATAAAAATCCCAGATAACTGTCCTATAAGCTCCTGCTTGGTTACATTAACAAGACTTTTCAGGGCCGAGCCCATGGCGCACTCGGGAGAGTGTGGTGCTAGGAGTGCACCAGCGCTCCCGCCGCGGGTTCGGATCCTATATAGGGATGACCGGTGTGCTCACTGGCTGAGCGCGGTGCGGCCGGTCTCAAAAAAAGGAAAAAAAAAAAAAAAAAAAGACTTTTCAACAAATAAGCTCAGCATAGTCTAACAGAAGCATCCAAAAAGATACACTCAACTTGTATCACCTGGGAAGGATCACCTTACTCAGGGTTAGGGTTTTAATGAGATGTGAGCTGTAAATTCCAAACTATTTATGAGTGGGGTTGGAAAACTATGACCAAGATGCTTGTTTTTGTAAATAAAGTTTTACTGGAATGCAACCATGCCCTTTCATTTATGTATAGTCTATAGCAGCTTTAGAGTTACAATAGCAAAGCTAACAGCGACCATATGGTCTGCAAAGGCACACCTGATCCTTTAAGAAAGTCTGCCAACCTCCAATTAGACGATATTTTTGTACCACCTTTTAAGTATCACTTTTATTCCAAAAATTTCTGGTGAAGATTTTTTAGGGCAAAAAAGGGGAACTTTATTCAACTGAGATAATTACAATTCTAAATGACACATGATTACACAGTCTGACTGTTCTTGCTTTGATAAAAACAGACTGAAGTGCATTGGGCTTGGCCTTTATACTGACTGTTGTGCTGTTCAGTTGCCACTTTTCTGTCATTTATGTCTGCTTCACATGCTTACTTCAGCTGCTGCTTTTTCACACTCTCCATCCTCTGCTACTGCTAAACTTCCCAGGATGCTTCTTGAGCCTGCATCTTTACCTGTTTCATCTACCTCCTTTCCCTTTCTCTTCTCACCAGTTTTACTAATGATTCTCATATACTCTGGATTTGGAGAAAGTACCAGGAGCTTTGATCATCCCCCTTCCGTTTTTTGTTATTACTTACCAATTCTTTGGTTTTAGCTTTATTTACTTATTTATTTATGTGGCAGCTGGCAGGTTATGGGGATCTGAACCCTTGACCCTGGTGTTACAAGGCTGCACTCTAACCAACTGAACTAACTGGCTAGCCCCTTGAGCTATTTTTAAAAGCTTTAATATTTGCTTTGTATTTTACTATTTAGATTTATTCACATACTAATTTCTTGCCCATGATTCCTTCTTGCATCTCAGTCTTTCCTTTTAGGTTTAATTTGCTTCCTCCTGAAGCACATCCAACTTATTACTCCATTTGTTGCTCAGGGGTACTGGGCACCTCTGGGCTTGGGGCAATCTTGGATTAGCTCTTACCTTTTGCAACAATACTGTTTTGTTCATATTTGGGAATGTTTCCTTCTTTGACCCTATCCTGCATGCTTTCTGTCTCTCTGAACCCCATCTTATGGTCTGTGAAGGTTAATTCTAGATGTCGACTTGGTTAGATGAAGGAATGCTGAGAAACCCGGTAAAGCAATCTTTTCAGGTGTGTCTATGAGGGTGTTTCCAGCAGAGATTAGTATGAAAGTCTGAGTGGACTGGGTGTGAAAGACCCACCCTCAGTGTGGGTGGGAACCATCCATTCCGCTGGGGGTCTGGAGAGAACAAAAGACAGAGGAAAGAGGTGAAGTGCTCTCTCTCTCAATCAACTGGAGCTGGGATACACTCTTCTCTCCTGTCCGTGGACATCAGAGCTTGAGACTCTTCAGATTTTGGGTTCCAGAAGTTACACCATCGGCTTCCCTGTTTTGAGGCCTTTGGACTTGGACTGAGCCATGCTACCGGCATCCAGTTTATGGACGGCCT